CTCCAACCTTGTTTTCCGAGTAAAGGTTATGAGTTGTGCCTTGTCAGGGTTTACCAAGAGGTTTTCCTTAACGCACCACTCTGCACAATCTACTAAGTAAGTAAACTGTCAGTAAGAAGTCTTGTCACTGTCATTCTATCTAGTAGTCAGTTGTCTGTTGTCATAAGTGATTCGTAATATTGACGATTTGTTACAAGTTACTTGTATTTTTATAGTTAATATACGTTTTCTAATTTACCTAGAAAGGTGTTTAATTTTATTCCCATAAAACATTAAACGTTTAAAAAAACAACCCCGTGACTGATAATATTGTAAATTTGAGGCGCCATATATAACGCGCTAAAATGTATCAAAACTTGGTGTGCGTCAGCTGGGACGATGCCGTTGTGCAGGAAGGTTTGACGTGGTCTATTAAATTCATCTGCACAAGGTGATATGGTTGCGCTTATATTATAGGAAACACTAACGTTGGGAACAGCTGGAAATTATTACGGTCGGAAAATTCAACATCTATTCCATGATATCTGACCCGGAGATATCCGGAAACGTGTGGTCACGGTATGTTTGGAATCGATAACAGATATAACAATTATTCTGTTAAATATGATGGTCATTAAAATGGAGATTATGTAGTCGCGGAAGGAATCTAATAAAATTATAATGATGATTGATTTTTTTTATTTAATTTCATACAATAAGGGGAACAAACAACTTAAGAAAATGCTGGTCAGGCATTAATGTTCATAACTTCCTGCTCCAATTTTTAATATTCAATATAATACTTAAGTAATCATAACACTTTCTTTCCTCTTGAGATATTTCCAAACAATCATAAAATATATAATAGGTACATTTTTTAATATACATATAGCATATGCGTAGGCGATATTTTCATTTCTTTATTTAAACAAGTTTTAATTATTTCATTTTAAATTAAAACAATATTCGTATCTCACGTGATCTGATAGCATCACAAACATCGAAAGTGTCTGATTTAATTCCTACTATATCAACTGTCCTTGACTATTTCACGCACTTATCAAATACAATAATTATAAATCAAAAATGGAATGAGCAAAATTTAGTGTCATCTTTATTCGTTGGTTATCTAAAACTTTGACTTCAATGCATTCATAACAAAGTTTTGAAATGTTTTTCTTGAAATGATACAAGACAAATTCAAATTTACCGCTAAAATGATATCTAGTTACTTTTTTAGTTATTTTTACTTGTGTAAATAGGAATTTTCAATTCGCTCCTCCTAATTTAAAAATAGAGTATAGTCCTCCGAGCAATTACTAATAGAGGGAGCGTGAAAACGAGTTTGTAGGCGATTGTTGTGTTAGCAACATCTGTAGAGGAAGTGAGGAAGCGGGCACAAGGGGGATGGTAAACATCCTTCTTGTTCAGTGGCGTATCATTTATCTATAAAAACACACATTGTCCAAACGTTTTAATTGCAAAAAAAACTAAAAAATTTGCTAATTTTACTATTTTTAAAATGAATACCGTCTTATATGTGTCTGATGCAGGAAAAGAAAAAAAATCACTGTAAAGGTCTAATTTTTTCAATTGAAGAATAAAACCTTAAAATCAATTTTATTATAAATACAGGAGCGACTAGTTTCGGCCTTACAGGAACATCTTCAGGCCTGTAATACAATAATCTTTAATTATTATAATAGGTTGGTCACTTACGAATAACATTAAATAGTATAAACCACATAAATGGGTCCATATTGTAGCGTTACAGCATTATAGAAATAAAGCTGTGAAAATAAAAGAGCAGTGCAAACGTAACTAAAAATAAGAAAACTGAGTACGGAATCTACAAGAGAAGAGGTGAGAATGAGCAATTACGAATGCATTTAAATTGCTCGGGATAACAAATAAAGCTGATAATGTAGTGGTATAGTCCCCGTCAAAGAAGGTCTGGATATGTTAAAGAGGACGGCGTTTTCTCTATAAATCTGGAGAATGTAAGGATGGAGGGAAAACGAATCTTGCTGGCTCAGGTGTAGATGGCTAGAAAAAGGAGCGTGTAGATGAAAGCTCCAGTAAATATCGTCACTTTTGTCTAATTTTTATTCTCACTCACAGTTTCGGCTTTATCATCGAAATTCATTTTTAAAAGGAAATAAAAGTAATCATTCATACAAGCATATAATAAAACAACATGAATTCATTATATTTAATAAGCTAATAAACGTTTGTTTTAATGAAAAAAACATATATGTGAGTATAAAAAATATATAAATAGATAAGATTAATATCAAAATCAATTTGAAAATACAACAGATAATAAAATGAAATAAATTAATACAAGTACAAATAGAAAGTTAATAACATACCTTCTAAAAGTAACACATTTTAAGTAGATAAATGTTTAAAGAGTTTATTCCTGAACATAACTAATCTAACGTTTTTCCCCTTTTTAATATTATGAGGGTTTTTGTAGTTGAAGTGAAAATTATAATTTATTTTGGTCCTAATAAAAATTTAAACATAGGTTATCAAAGAGTAAAATTCATAATAGAACTTCATAATCTTAAATCGTTATCAAAAATTATTAATGGTAAAACTTCAAACAATAATTAGATTCTTAAACAAATTTCTAGTTTTTGTTTTGCAAAAGACTGTTTTGCCTTCTTCGGTTGCCTCTGTCACTTTTCTTTTAGTAGTTTCGAGGAGAATTTTCCTATGGAAACCAGTAGAACCATCAATTGGTTGGTAAAATTTTGATATTTTGAGTCTGGTAAGTCTTGATAAACTTTCTTCTTAGGAAGCTATAACCTTATGGAGAATAAAAATTTAATGTTACATCAAAAGCTCTTAATTGAGAATTATATTTGCAAATGCAGTTTTAATAATATTTTCAAAAGTTCTTGGAATCGTTGTTAACAGAAACCTGCAAAAAAATATATAATTTTATTCCTAAAATATAAGATATCACACAATGCACATTCATATAATATCATTGTGCTAGAAAAATACTAGGTAGTTACTGAGACAATTTAGAAAAAGTATTTCGAGAAACTCAACTTTTAATGTCATCATTGTACTTAACTTTTTTATTGCTAAATTATTAATAATGTCATTTTGTGTAGTTCGTTGTGATTTGAATAATATATATTATTAAAACCCATCGTCAATGTTAATGTGCCAAGTTTTTTTAATAATTATGTCTTTGTTATAGTAAAAACACATTTAAATACATCTTTAAAGTTTTCTGGATTTCTGCTTTAAATTATCGTACAATTGAACTGACTAATTGTGTGTTTCAGTAAAGGTATATCTCTTTTTTGTTATAACAGTCTTTGTATATTGTTCTAACTTTTTAGATAATCAGAGAAAACAGTAAGAAATCTTAATATATCCTATTTCACCAACAAAAATGTAGAATAATTAATCTCACATCAAACGAAAAAAGTAATTTTAGGATGTCCTAATAGGTCTTAACTTAAAAACTAAATAAAATGTATATTGCAACTGTGTTTAAATAAATGAATGTTTTTATACCTGACTATAGCACCAGACAAACATTTTTTTAGATCATAATGATCTGCATAACTCAAAATAGTCAAAATCCACATTATTTAAGTTGTTCTAGTATTGTTTTAGCATAACGATGTTAACTTCAATAATAAATATTCATTTTTTTGGAACGTTTTTTAAGGAAATTAAAAAAAACATGAATAAGGTGATATTCTTGTTTAGTATTGTACTATATAATGTAGTTCATTAGGTAGTGATTTAGAAGCAAATTATGTTCTATTTATAGAATAAAAAATCACTCATATCATCTAAATATTTATACCTATTTATATTTTGGACAGGAAGACTATTTTATGTTTTTGGCTCTGAATACTTTTCTTATGAATTTTAAAACCTTCCTTAGCTCTTTTGGGATATTCCATGCATATCTTAGAAGTTCATTTTGTTTAAACCTAAAACAAATTAAGTACAAAAATGAACATTTAAACAATACACAAAATTAGTCTTTTAGATTAGTTAAAAAAAAGTGTCAACAAAAAAATAGCTATGCCTTTTTCCTTAAACATTCTTTTTGAAAGAAACTTAAGTTTCTCTACTTACTTGCTGTTTTAGTATTTTAGTAGCAGATGAATATAGTGTAGAAGTAGTGATAGGATTGATTATTATACTTCTTTCGTTGAAATTGCATTTTTCCTTAACATTTTCTTTCCCTGAGGTCTGTAATAAAAATGCATTAGCATAAAAAGTTATTCAGGTGGTCACTTGTTGAATTCCTATATTTTGGAACCATTTATTTCTTTCTCATATCAAGAAAAGGAAACTTTAAAAAAATAACAATAAACTTCACAAAGATGTGATATTAAAATAATAATAAGTAATTAACCTTTACTATAATCATTATGAGACGGATGAAGACGAACTTAGCTGGAGTGTACTTGCTCTTAATTTTAATTTTTCGATAAGAAAGTTTAATTGCAAATTAAAGGTGATTGCCTAATGCACCGCCTCTGATAATTAGGTTGTGTCTGTACTTACTTATGATATTATCTTGAAGAAGCATTTTCAACAGGCCTTTTACACATAAAGCATGTTTTCACCATATTATTAGAGATAATAAATCTTAAATATACATTTACAACCTTTACAACGTTATAAATAATAATATTTTCCGTAAAATACAAATAAGAAATTGACATGTGTCAGAAAGTGTCAGAACTGGCGCTCACAGAATACTTCTGGCGCTGTCAAACTTGGCAACGCTGATTAAATAAGCCAATTACAAAAGAGGTATTTTCCCCCTCGAGGGAGTAGATGTTGCTAACAAAATTTAGCGCGGGGAAGGGGGGAATCCCTCTAGTAGTAATTGCTCGGAGGTATAGTCAAGTTCGGATTATCGATAACACCAAACTTGACTCTTGATCCTGATTGGCCTGTCAAGTTCGGTGTTTTTAGATTGTTTATGTGACAGTTAAACGTCAAATATAAATAATTCCGCCGTGCACGCATTTAAAAATGAGCAGATTTGGGATAAATTCCATCGAATTAATCAATAGAAAAATTGATGAAAATGTACCGAAAAATACAAAGAAATCGAAGGAGTACGTTTGGAAGCAATTTACTAGTTTTTGCGATGAACGAGAATACGTATTAGAAGAAGAAATGCCTGTTGAGAGACTAGCTCTTATATTAAAGGACTGGAGCTTCAACATGAGAAAAATTGATGGTTCTGATTACAAGGAATGTGTCGTAAAGACGACCTGGAATACGAGTGCTAAATTATTGCAAGAAACATATAATGAATATTCACGGAATTTCGACCCATTTAAAGATATATTTTTTAATCGGCAAAAAATTGAGAGATATTTAAGTACGTTATGTTAATACTGGTTTATTTAAATATGTATGTTCGATGTCAATGTTTCCTGTTTATTAAACTATTTCTCTAATCAACTTTTTCACTTTTTTGTTAATTTCCTCTCGGATTTTTTACCTTTCACTTTGTGAAATAGTCTAATAAAATTCCACTCGTGATTAAATTTATCTTATAATTCTGTCTTTTATTTCACAACTCAACTGAGTTGCTTGAAGAAAACATCACTCGTCCTCCAGACGCGTGGTGTTTTCAAGCAACTCAGTTTCGTTATAAAATAAATCGACAGAATTATCGAGCCAATTCAATCACTTGTGGTATTACTACTGAAAATACGGTCAAATATGTTACTGGTGTTCAGTTGGGTATACTCGCTTTTATAGGTAGGTTATAGATTTTTTGCGTTTTATCAACACGCGTTTATTCAATTTTTTATCAAATAAAAGGATGGATTAGGGCCCTTAATAATAGAGCCTTTATTATTTTCTGTAGGTATGTGTTAATTTATTTACTTTTATGAAAGTTTATTGACAATATAATTTTGAACTAAAAAAATTTACATTGGATCAAGATTATTTTATTGGCTCGTTTTAGAAGTGTAACTTAAAATTGAACCTGGTCATATTCAATTCAAAATTGCATTTAGCAATTTAAGGAACGTTTTCTGTACAAATAGAATTTGATAGTTTTCGCCATCATAAACAAATTCTTGTTTAACGTTTTGAAACGAAAAATTGCATTTGTAAAGGATAGGGGTCTGGAAGGCAAACAGTTATAACCGAAGATTTGTGAACTCGCAACAGTTCAATCCATACAAATCACCGGGACCAGACGGGGTATTGCCTGTGCTTTTGCAAAAGGCAATAAAAACACTGGACCTGCATATTTGTAGGCTCTACAGGACAAGTTTGGTGCATATGACGTGGACCTATAACTCGCACGTCATTTCTATTGAAAAGACTGGAAAAACTCATTGATCAGCATGTCCGGCAAACCACTTTGATAAAAAAAACCATTTCGTACAAACCAACATGCCTATCAATCAGGAAAAGCTTGTGTCTTGTGCATCATCTTGTAACCAAGCTAGAGAGGGGACTCAGTAGCTAAGAAATAGTCCTAGGAGCATTTCTTGATATAGAAGGATCTTTTGTTATTACCTCCTTTAAATCAATGCTGCCGCTCGCAAATATGGAATAAAAGACACCATCTGCTGGTGAATAGAAGACATGTTACGCAGACGGCAAGTACAGTCACAAATTTTAAAACCATGCAGGTGAATATCCACATGGGACGTCCACAGAGTGATGTCCTTTCTCCTTTTCGGGGGAATCTAGTGGCAAATAAACTGCTGAAAACACTGAACAATCAAGGGCTGTACACCCAAGGATATGCCGATGACATAGTTATTCTTATCCGAGAGAAACACCAAACCACAGTCTTCGGACTCATACAAAGAGCTCTAAGGCTGACATAAATGTGATACGTTGGGGAAAACCTCTCGGTAAACCCTGATAACGCACAACTCATAACCTTTACTCGGAAAATAAGGTTGGAGGTTTTATACTCTGTTTGGAGAAAGGCTAAACAAAACGAACCAAGTAAAATATCTGGGTATAATCCTAGATAGCAAACTTACACTTACTTCAAACCACCACTAATAAAAAGTGACCAACAAATGTAAAATGACTCATTGTAGGGAGACGGACATTTGGAAAAACATGGGGATTAAAACCAAAAATGGCCATATTCAGCAATAACAAGACATGATATTTTATGGAGCGGTTGTTTGGTGACCAAAAGTAAACCAGAAAACAACCCTCAATACCCTCTCAGGAGTTCAGAGGCTGTCATGCCTTTGAATTACAGAAGCACTGAGAAGTACACCGACAGCCTCTATGAAAATCGTTCTAAACCTCCCAGCCCTTGACATAGTCATAAAGGGGGAGGCCAGAATGAGTGCATACAGGCTGGACATCTCAAACAACTGGAACCCACTAGAACATATAAAACATACCAGAATAATACATGAAGTAAATGACCCTATATTAAACATGGGATCTGATCATATGACACCCCGCATAACCTTCAACAGACTCTTTCAGGTCAAATGCAACTGAAACGAGGTAAATAAGAAGGTAGAGAAATACTTGCTTAGGGGTCTCGTATGCTATATGGATGGATTTAAAACTATAAAAATGTACTACTATATTCCAGGCTAAAATACATGCAATCTAATTGTGTATATGGCAGAATTTAAGAAGGAGATACAAGAAACAAATCATCCTAATTCTCTCAGATAGCCAAACAGCCTTAAGGGTCCTTAATTCAAATAGAATCAAGTCAAAACTGGATAGAAATTTTAAGGAGAAGAGTAGTATCTATATTTGTTTATGACACAATTAATGACCAAGGAAATCAAAAAATTTCTTGAACAGCTACATGATGGAGCAACAACTCATACAGCTAGAGGTACTATTGACCTAATAAAATATTATTTTGATGACCGATTTATTAATAAAGAATTATGGCCTTCAAGGATCCTGGATACCTATTCTCTAAATGATGGGAGCACTCCCATACTCCCATGCTCCCATACTCCCATGCCAACGTTGCCAAGTCGACAGAATAACTTTGATCTACTATTTAAGAGCCGATTCTACCGTTGTGTTAAACGGAGCTTAAAGTGACATTATTAATGTAAAAATTTCATTTTAAACTTCGTTTAACACAACGGTGGTATCGGTCCTAAATAGTTCAAATTTCCTTTGTGATAAATACGGACCTAAATCTGGCAAGCCCGCAATTCTCCCTCGCATGGTATAAACTCTGACCTTACTACGCATGTACCTGGGCTAAAAGTGAGTAAGCACGATATATCCATCTAAGAGTAAGAGAGCAAAATATATGGGAGCACTCCCATGGGAACGCTCCCATGACTTAGTGAATAGCTATCCTGATCTCACACTTTTAAACTATTTGCACATTAAAAATAAACCAATAAGCCAAAATGTAAAGATCGTATTATAATTTTAGGCAGTTCGTTTCTGGTTCGTTTACCAATCAATACTGAATGTTTAAAGTTATCCCATCCCAAGCATATATTCGTTAACATCAACAAGTTATCCTAATCTGTTTCGTCGAAATATCCCATAAATAAAGTCTTAAGTTTGTTAAAGTGTCATATTACACAGCATCGTCGTCATATTTCTTACAAAATCGCAATTAATTTATCCTGGACCTGCATGCTGGTAAAAAAATAAAAGTTGTATCCAAACGAAAAATTGATGTTAGAATTTCCGAAAGTTTTTACGAAAAAAAAGTTACTTATTTACCTTTCCTAATAGAGAATAATATGCTTAAAACCGATTCCACCGTTGTGTTAAACGGAGATTAAAATGACGTTGTTAATGTAAAAATGTCATTTTAAACTTCGTTTAACACAACGGTGGAATCGGTCCTAAAAGTACTACTAATTTCATAAAATAAAAAGAAGTTCTTTATTTATTTGTCAGGAAAACCAGACGTTTGAAACCATTCAACAATGTGTTTGCCGACACTGTTTACCACAGTCAGCGCCATGGATTTTCTTGATTAAATTAAAAACGAATTAATTAAGTAGTTTAATTAAAGCCTTTGAAAATATTATTTTAAAAACAAAGCTGCATTAATTAAGCGGTCGAGTAGAGCAGAATAAATGAGAATCAGGAATTAATTAAAAATGTAGGGTTTCTGTGAAATATTATCGTATTTGATTTCTTAGAAAATGTTAATTAATAATTTTTGCTAATTCTCCGAAAAAAATACAAAATACTTTATTTTTAACAAGGTATAGGTAGGTCAAATTTACCCCACTAGATACATATAGGTAGGATAGATTTGAAAGGATTTATTTGTCTTTGTCCACCGCTTCTGGCTTTTTGAAATCAATCTAACCAGGCTTTCACACTGGCACAGGACGTAGATTGATGTTTCCTTTTCTTCTTCACAGAACCTGCACCACAATGTTGCTAGTTCCTTCTTAGGCGACAGTGGCCGGTAAGAAGACCTTAGCCCAATAATACAGACGTTTTTTACCGAATTTCTGAATATTAATGGTACCAATAAGGAAATGACAGCAAAAGAAGACCAAGTTTCAGTGGTCCGAGGAGTGTACTGAGTCTTGTTGCTAGGTTAAGAAATGTCTGTTCATTGCACCCATTTTAAGCTGTTCTGACTACACGAAAACGTTTGTAGTACAATCTGATACACTGACAAGACAAGAACGCAATTTCTTGACTACCAAGAAATAATATTTGGCAGAATTGTAGGCTATCGAGACTCTTACGAGTTACTTAGAGGGTACACCTTTCACTTTAGTCACCGATCATTACACTCTTGAACAGTCTTAAGGATCTAATTAGAAATTTAGCGCGTTGGGCCGTACGTTCGCAGCAATATTTGTTGCAAATAGTACATAGGAAAGGGAAAGATAATGTAGTCCCTGATATGTTAAGTAGGTCCGTTCCAGTGGTAAGGTTTTCGAGTCCGATAAGTGGCCAAAAAAATGATTAACAAGGTCAATAATAATACTTTAAATTTTAGTTATTCGGGTTTTTGAGGGTAAGTTATGAAGATTAGTTCCATCTCGATACACTGGTTTGAAGGTTTAGGAGAATTCGTGCAAATTAATTGTTCCTAAGAACATTCGTTAAAAAATCATTGCAGCCATGCATAAACCTTCTACTGCGGAGTATGCAGGGGTTTATAAAACTTTTGTGTAGTTACGTTGCAAGTTTCGTTAAGGAATATGGTTGGCGTGTTGCTAATAAACCTGTTCTGACAAGATGGTCTCTCATCCGAAAGCTAGTGGACCATTTGCGATATTGGCAATAGATTTTATAGGTATTTAAAGTAAAAGATGGTACCTAAGAGGAAAATTTAAGTGATAAATGAGACTACTAAATCCATTCTTTAAGTACCTGTAACAACCTGTATCGACCTCTAATATAAAGTAAATTACTGACAGAAATGA